CAAGAGGGACTCCCAGGACTGTGGAGGGGATGGACGGCTGCCTATATGCGTCTAGGCCCCTTCCTGTTCTTGAGTTGGCCAATCATCGAATCCATACGCCGTCATGGCTTTGGAATCTCCAACTTCTAACCTCATGCTTGGTCCTCTCGACTGCGTTGGAGTGTCAGGTGGGTTATCCATTGTGATTAGTGCCCAAAGCCATCACAAGGTGACATTGCACTGACTGAACCTCAGCTAGTACAAGTATCAGTAATTGCAAGCATGATATGATTATATACGAGTATCTTGATTCGTATATTGACTATTGGCCATTGATGATGCTTTTCTCTCACCGATATCCTCATATCTTTGGTCGTCGCCCGCCCGACCGTTTTGCTCTATACTAACTCGTAGCAGCATGATCAATTAAGCAAGATTAAGGTTTGATTTCTCTCCTATGGTTGTGTTGAACGATGATCTCGACAACTCCCCCAACACGACTAACGAGTCCGTAATGGCCAATGAGCATAATCATCCGAGAACTAACCTTCCCCAACAGCGCCGTTCTAGAAGGGTGGCGGGAGAAATCCCTACGCCAAGAAGCTTACCACGAGCTCAACGCCGGAACAGTCAGCAAGCTTCAAACTACTCTGTCGAAGAAGACGAAGTTATTCAAAGAGCAGAAGGGCACGCACTTCCACATCCGGCACCTCTAGAACGGCACCGCACGGTCTTCTACGAGTCCGACTCAATATCATCAGCTACGGCCAAGGAACCGGCATACTCAAGCGAAGACCGGGCCTATTTATCAGCTAAGAGTCTCGAGAGACAAGAACAAGGAGCCCTTTCATCGTCGTTGGTGTTTGGTGACCCCAAAGAGACCATTGACCAAGTCGAGCACAACAGGCGACTTCCGACAGCGCAAGATCATTCTCGCTACGCCCACAATAATGGCAGTAGGAATAGATTGCCTAGGAGTCTACCAGCTCGCGAAGATCAGCAGCATTCTGTCTATAGGGGTGTCACCGCTACTAAGGGCATGGACGACGACATCATACCGCACCAGGAACAGCGCGATATTGCGCGTACTGCTAACTATCTGGCCGAAACCTGGCGCAAGAAGAAGCTTCCAGTGTACACCGGTGAGAACGAGGGCGATGGTGGTATCAGTTTCTCCAATATGAGGAGAAAATGGGAGGCGTTCTGCTTACAAGAATGGGTTCCGCATGAGTCACCAGCAGCGGTACGGGCGTTCATCGCGGCCTGTATCGATGAAGAACTGGTCACCTACATCCAGGACGAGCAGAGCAACCATCTCACCATAGCTCCCAATCGCCGAAGTTATTATAAAGAGTTTTATCATTATGCTCTCAGATATCTAGGCACCAATCACCAAGACAAGTCGGTAGTCACGAGCCTCATCCAGCAGATCCTCACGGAGAAGCAAGGAGGCAAGAAGCTCAGTGACTTCCTCCGTATCACCAACGAGCGCTTGCGAGAGCTGGAATACTGTTCTGTCGATCACCACTCACAGCTACATCCGGTACACATCGCCTTCGCTCTGCAAGCATGCCTTGGTGACCCTTTCACGGGGTGGTGGTACGACGCATGCAAGGAGCTGGGTGGTTCCGACCAGGTTACTACATATGAGGATATTCGCACGGTTATGCGCAGTCTACAAAAGAAGGCCCATGCACTGAAACAACGACGTTCGTATGGCTACAACGGTGATGGTCACTATGTTGGTCATACGCCTCAAGGTCAAGTCTTCTATGCCGACAACAACAACAGTCGTCATATTCCACTACTACCACAAACTACATCAGAGCCGTCGAATCAGCCTCAGTCTGGTCAGCAGCAAATCTTCCCTATGTCTGACGATCGAGCAAAAGCTCCGGTGAAAACCGCACAAGACCAACATGGACAAGAACAGAAGAGAAACCTATCTGTCTGAGATGTATGATCGTACTGGTAGTCACAAG